AGAAGGGCTAAGGAAAAGGCCAATGAATGTGAGGGAAGAGTCATCCTGGAGAAGAGGTCATGTCTTTCTTCTTCCTCCTTGCTCAAGGAATGTGGGAATTCAAATTGCTGGTGTGAAATAGTCCATTGTTTGCTTGTTTGTTTTGGGAGATGAGCTCAGTCTGAGACAGACTGGGAATGGAGCTGGAGAGACAGAACTGTCTTGTTTGCTGGAGTGTTAAGCTGTGAGCCTCCACCTTTGCTCAGCCTTTACAGTTGTAAATTATCACCACTAATACAAAACGTCATAAGCCTCTTCTGATCTTATTTTAAAGAAAACCAAGCACAAGTAAGTGCTAAATCCTCTCACTGTGCAGAGAATTGGAAAACAGATCACAGTAAGGTAAAGCCTGATCTTTTGTTCACTCAGAGGGTTATCCAGCTGGGTTCAGTGGAGTTTAGTGACCATGCATAGGACTACAGTTTCAGGCATATAACAAGAAATCGAAAATAGCATCTGTACAGTTAACATTGGTGCTAAAAGGTGCAGATCAGGGCACCAATTAATAGTTATGAGGAATCTGTTAAATCCAGAAAATAAAATTGTTTTCTAGTCAGGTTTTTCACAAAGTGAGCTGGTTCACATGACATGCTAGGCTCTGTGGGCTATTTAAGCCATGATGAGCCAGAGAACATTTGGATTCAAGTTGAATATGAAACCTCCTATTGGGAGTTGTTATATCATGCAGCCTGGGCCATGGGGTATTTAACCTGATTTAAGCCACAGCGATCAGGTTTGCTTGGCATGACAGCCCCCATTCAAGGTTGTATATTCAAAATATCAGTTAGCACATGCCTGCTCAGAAGGGGCTAAAAAAGCAAGCCAGGATGCCGTGACATGCAAACTGGTCCCGGGTGTCCTTCTTCTTCTCAGACTTGATAGCAAAGTCTGTTCAGTTCACCTGTTACCATGGCATTTTTCCCCTTCTGAAATAGGCATAGCCAGATTCTCTTAGCCAGATTATCATGTGTAAAAGGTTACTAACATATTAACCCAGTTTGGATACAACACTCTTTATATGAGCAGAGGCTTATTGTTCAGCTTGCTAGAGGGTTCTTAGAGTTGCATTTGCTTGTTAGCTGTATAGCGCCAGTAAAGATATGCATTGTAAAGGACTGTCTGGCATTTTAGACGGGAAGGGAAGGGAAGGGAAGGGAAGGGAAGGGAAGGGAAGGGAAGGGAAGGGAAGGGAAGGGTCTAGCTCACAATAGCTACCTCTTCAAGAACTGAGACTTCTATTTCTCTTTCCACTTACCTTTAACTAGCTTTACCAGCTTTCAGGTAAGAGGCTTCCATATGACTTCGTTTTTTCTCTAAAGCAGATCTGGACCACTTCTGGGGGGTTGGGAACTATCTATATTGCCCCCAAGATCTTTGTGAGCTGCCCCAAGGCTTTGTTGCGATGCGGGAGGCATAGAAATGTTTTAAATAAATAAATAAGATCCCACTGGGGACTCTCTCATTGCCCCTCTATACTATCACATTGCCACTGAAAGCCAGCAGCAAAAAACTGGCAATTCTGCTTGACAGCAAGGTACAGAGGCATCACACAGCTAGTTTTCAAGCACAATCAGTTTTTCTCTTTCTCTCTCTCTCTCATTTTGCCATCACCACAATGGCAAATTCAGCAGTGGCAGGAGGAGCAGTCAAGCCAAAGGCCAGGAGAGATGCACATGGCCACTTGTTGCCCACTCCTGGTATAGTATACATGTAAGGACACTAATATGGACTGGAAACTTATCTTGGAGAATTGAAATCCTTTAACCGTCTCACCATTCAGAGTCCTAATTCATGCAGCAGCCCCTGGGCCTGCCATGTACGGTATATTGTCAAATAGAGATCTATTAAACTAAATGGATCTGTGCTGGCACCATACATTGCAGGGGTGAAATATTAACCTCCACCCAAGCTTAATCATGAGTGCAGTGGGGAGCAGGAGAATTAAAGCACTTGTCCTGACCAAGACAGGTCTGCCTGCACTTAAGAAATGCAGGAATAGGGGAAGAAAGGAATATTGTAGCTGCTATGACATCTTTAAATTCTGCGTTTGCACATAGAATTCCTGTATCATTGCTGTTCTACTATTTTATTAGGAAAAACAAACCAACCAAGTTGCTAAAATGGAAGCAATCCATTCCTCCCTTTATTCTTAAACTTAGTGTTACTGGTATAGTATTATAACACCATAACCCAATTTCATTCCAACACAGTTCTGCTACCATTTCAACGTTTTAAAAAATATAGGTAGAAATTAGTAGGAATTAAATTTAGTTAAAATTAATAGCTTATAAAATGATGCCCACTACAAAGGTTACAGTGAACCAGTGGTAAGATGTGATAAGGTCCAATCTGTCACTGCCTCATAATAAATAAATAGCTAGATGGGTAAATAAATAAATAAATAAATAACCCCACTCCTATATTTTGGCAAGATGTGTGTGCCTTACTAAAATGTGGCCAAACTGACTACAAATATAATACACAATATAAACCCATTTTATTGTTTTCACAAGGTTTTACATGTTTTATGATTGCAGTGATTATGATGTATGACATGCATATTCTTGCAATTTTCACAAGGAGATGGCAAAAAAAGACTTCCTACTGGAGTATAACTTTTAATGTTGAAAATACTTTTACATAAAAAAGCTTTCTAACAATAATTATGCAGTCATGATTGCTTAAAATTACATAAAAGAATCTATTCTTTCTGCCATATGGTTAGCTTCACAAAGGGTTTTTGATGCTTGATGTTAAATAGTATACTTTTTTGTGTATTCATTAACATTTGTCCACAAAACTCATCCGATTGATTAGTTTAACATGCAACATCAATCCCTTATTGTGGCTCAGGAAAAAGACTTGTTGGAAGATTAAAGCCTTTTTTTGTATTCACTTATTTCTTCATCAGGCAACCCCATGCTGCCAGTCAGCTTGTTTTTCTTGCTCTTGAATGAATGAACTAATTTAAGATGTAATTGAACAATCTTTTAGGCTGTATCCCAGGCACCCAATTTTAACACTAGACTGTGTGTTTCATAAACAAAGAAGATCCACAGTTTGCAGTCTGCCTCTGTGGAACGTTTCTGAAACCCCCTTTTTTAAGCCATCAAAACCATCAGTTTGTGCAATTTACACCTTATTGCGATGTTGATGCAGATGCCAAATAATCAGTTCTTTGTTTCTGCGCTCAACAATGCAGAGATTGTTCAGTTCTAAATGTATTATAGCTGGAATGAAGGAACCAACAACTAATACTTCAAGAATTTGAATTAAACAGCACAAATTTACTAAGTGTGTGTGACACTATAGCAGAACAGAGATACACAACAGTTTTGAATTTAAGGGCTGTAGCTGATGCTGCATGAGAGTCTGTGGACAGTACATGTGTGCATGCATCACAGAAGCCCAGCACACACACGCACACGCACACACACAGAGACACTTCTTCCAACCCACTCCCCTTCTCTGCATATACAGAAGCATAGGGAACTGGGTCTTTTCAGCCTGGAGAAGGGGAGATGCAGAGGGGATCTGTTGGCAACATACAGGTATGTGAGGGGGTGTCATACGGAGGTGGGTAGAGACCTGTTCTCCCCTGCAGAGGTCGGCAGGACGTGCTCCAACACAGCCAAGCTCAGGGAACCAAGATTTAGAGTGGATGCCAGGAAGTACTTCCTGACAGTTAGGACCCCGAGGGTATGGAATGGGCTTCCACAGGAGGTGGTTGAGGCCCCATCGGTGAGGATGTTCAAGGATAGGCTAGACATCCACATGGTGGGCATGTTGTGAGTGGAGCCGGCTGGAGCTGGGGGTCAGACTAGATGGCCAGGGAGACCCCTTCTGACTCGCTCTGTTCCTATGTTTCTATAGTTTCACTGTCTCAAAAACACATCCACACAATTTTCTCCCTTATACACATACACCCCCTGCATACACACACACAGAGACACACACACACATCTTTGGATACAAAGACACATACATCCACCCCTGAAACATGGGGTGGGGTCATGGCACATCAAGCCACAAAGATCTCTTGCGCAAGATCATCCATCATGTCATCTGAACCCCATTGTGGTATTTCAGCATGGAACATTCACTTTTGAGAAACCACAAAAGAAAATAATGGTCCATTATATGATTTCTCTGGTAATCAGCTCATGGTTTCCACAGTCCTGGCATGCAGCTACCACTGAGTACCCAAGAAAGAGTGGCAGCTGATGCAGGAGCTGCTCCAGCTATCCAGCATGGGATTGAATTTCAGAACTGCTGGCTGATGGGATACATGCCAACAGTGGGAAGACAGAACAAGCAGAACGGAAACCATGCTAGTGCAGAAACCACTTGGATGTCTGTCAGGCACATCCAGGCTAAAAAATATGCACTGTGGAAACCATGCAGGGTGGCTTGTCATAATGAGTGAATTCAGTCAAAATCTCCCCAATACCACCAACAAGAGTTTCCCTTGCTAGCACCAGCACTTGCATACGTAAGAGAAACCCTTCCCTTATCTCTGATGAGAAATGAACTAGCACTAGCAAGAGAAACTTTGCCTTGGGTCCAATCTGATGAGACAAAGGAAGACTATCCCTTGTTAGTGCAAGACTGGAAGGCAAAGCTCTCTAGCTAGCACTAGCACTAACCAGGGAAAATATGCCATTATCTCAGATACACAGGTGGGGTCCCCTATACTTCTGTTGTCAGTAGGCTGAGTGCTCCTGCTTTACAATGTATAAGATGGTTCCCTGCTTTGAAGATTTAAACTTCCGTATAGGTAATCTTCAGTACAGGTAAACAAAGAGAGGGACCAAAGAAAGTAATAATTAGCGAAATTTTCAGTTACTGCAGTAGCACCCCAGTTATGGAATACCCACCCCAGGGAGATCCATTTGGCAACAATTTTGTTATCTTTTCAGACTTTTAAAAATTATTCTTCCAGACCTTTTAATGCCTGATTTTGTGCATGCCTTGTAATGCTGTCATTTAAGAAACTATTTCTTTATATTTTCTGATATTTTCTTAGCTTCTGCTTCTTTTGATGGATTTATTATCGTTCTGTTTCAGTATATGTATTTTATGTTTGTTTTTACTGTATGTTGCCCTGTGAGCTCTTAGCTATAGAGTGAGTAATAAATGTTGGGAAAAAATAGTAAATCCTTTTGCCAGCAGCACAGAAAAAAAATTCCTCTCCACATGCCTTGAAAACCTGTTCCAAAGATTGGGAGCCCTCCTAGACCAAATTGTTTTTTGAGACACAGAAACCTTCAGGTGGGGAAGAGGATGGCAAAGCCCCATTGTTTGAGCAGAAGTCTGTTCATGTGCTTCTGTTTCTGATTTTTCCCATAGGAGTCAACATTAGAAGTATGTTCCAGCAGTCAATTGCATCACCTAGTTTCAATTCCTCCAATATTCTTGTAGAGCAGGTCAGCCATGGCTTTTTATTCTTCTTTTCATTGATTGATACCTGTTGCTTGTTTGACAGATGGAAAGCCAGTCAGCCAGCACTTCCCAATGCGGCACCCTCTAAATGTGTTGGATTGCAGTTCCCTAGCCAGTTGCAGTCCAATACGTTTTGAGAGGAGAAGGCTGGAAGGAGCAAAGAGGCGCTCCCATTTTCTGGGCTGGAGAAGATGAAGAAGCGGGTTGCAGTGGTCAAGGGGAGGGACAACTCCAGGTGGCTCGCTGCAAGTGCCAAGTGTGACTTCCCTTGATGGTCCTGCCTCACGGAATGATCCCCGTCCATCCATCCGTCCGTCCTTCCTTCCTTCTTATGATTAAAAAACAAAAACAACAAAAGGCATCTCTGGCAGAACTACAATACTGTCCCAGACATTCCTTTTCATTTTCTGAAGTGCATTGCAATTATAACATTAATATGACAAATTAGGGGGAAGCTCTTTAACATCAATGAGCAGAAACTAGACAAAGAAATCTCCACTTCACCCAAATATATTTTGGGAACATGCTAGTCATGAGTGACTAACATGAATTATAATGGCAATTTTAAAGCCGGTTCCTGTTTTTGTACTTGACCTACTTCTTGTATTTCATAAGCTCTGCAAACAGTTTTATTAATGGCTACAAAGTAACACTGAAATATATTTCTATTTTATTTTATGTTCATTTTCCTGTTTTGAAAATGCATGGTAGTATCTCTTTATACTTACAGAGAACTGGCAGAATTTTCTATTTTAAAACTTTTAAAAAAGGCATTAAACAATGTGGTGGACCTTTCAGGCGTGCATCCCCAATATATTGCAGCTAAGGGAGAAAATTGACACTAACAAATGGCTTGTTTGTGGGCTGCATTTTTGCTGCAGTGCCCCGGTCATGAATCTCAGTTAAGCAAATCCATCTCCAAGGACTAATTACAAGTATCTCTTTAGGGGATGAGGGGGAGGAAAAGGAAAAGAAATCATCCCTAAAGCAACTATTGAGAGCAATCTGAACACACATGCATGCTCACTTAGAAAGAGAATTTTCTTGAAATGGTTTAAGGAGAATAAAATGTAATATTTTAAACAGTTAAGGAACAAGAGCAAGAATGATAAAAAAGGTCAGCTTCAGTGATGCTTAAAAGAGAAAAGCATTTCATCAAACTAAAACAAGGAAGTCCACACCCCAGCTATGATGTTGTCCCTACTCTGGCTCTGAGCCATTATGATGATTCTGCTCAGCTAAAGGTAGCCTAAAGGCTAAGACTTCAGCCAAGGTTATTGCCTCCTTCTGCACCTTCTGAGATTAAAAATTCAGTGTCTGTTACTGTTGGATTTCAACTTTCATCAGTCCAAGTCAGGATGGCCAATACTTATGGATGGGAGCTGTAGTCCAACAGCATTTGGAAGGCCATGGTCTATGGTCCAGGGCAGATTCCTCAAGTTCACAAACTCCTTCTTCCCTTGTCGTCTTCTTCATGCATTTTCCTCTCAGGTCTGAATTACTCCCAGAGGTGGCTCAAGACATTGCTTAAGTGAAGGACAATATAGTCCTCCACACACACTTACACATATAAGCCAGCTGGGCTGGCTGGCTTGGGACAGGATAGCATCCTCCATGGCTGCTGAAAGCAGTAGGCTAGTTTCAGGGGTATTGCATAGGGTGTGCAGCACACCCTGCCCCCTTCTATCATCCAGCACATTGCCACTGTCCTGGGTTTCTAATATAGCACTACTGCCATATTCCTTCTTTTGGTGAATGCATTTCTATACTGCCTTTCTGAAGCCATTTATGGAAGTTTATAAAAATGCAGAAAACAATAAAATAAAAGCTGGTAGCACTTAAAAAATGAACCATAGCAAAAGCAAAAAAAGGAGAGAGAAAAGAAAAAAAGCACAAGTGAAAAGCACATGACTTCAACTGCTTCATGATCTTAGCAAGCATGGAGACCAGCTGCAACTCCAAAGGCAGGATGTTCCAAAGTTTCTGAGCATCACAGGAGAAAGCTATTTCCCATGTGCCTAACTGAAGGTGTCCTCAAAAGAGCCCAAAGGATTCACACTGAGTAAGTGGCTGTTCAGATCGCCATGTCCAAACCCGTTTTGAACTTTAAACCCCATGAACTGAGCCTGGAAAACCACTGACGTCCCATACAGATTTTTCAGTACTGGGATGATTTGAGGACAGTACTGTAAGAAGTCCAGCATTTTTCACTAACTGACGTGTCTGGGCACACTTCAAAGGTACATTGCAATATTATAACTATGTTGTAATCAAGGTGTGGACCAGACTGACTCAGTAATGGCCACAGCTGGTATACATTAAGGTGCAATCCTATGTATGGTTAGACAAAAAACTACCACAACTTCCAGCATGTCGCAGCCACTGTGGCTGACCAGATGCTGTAAGCTGTAGGCCTGTTGTTTTGTCTAAACACGCATAAAATTGCACCCTCAATGTATTTGTGCAAGCGCATTCCTCATCCCCACTGCCACCTGGAAGTCGAAGGACAGCATGTCCAAGTGATGAACTTCATATTTCAGGGGAAGCATGACTATATCTGGAAGTGAATGAATTCCAGCTCCCCAGCCAAAGACAGCACCTCCATCTTTTATAGATTTTATCTCAGCATTCACCTGCATCCAGCCCATTTTGAATTTAGGCAATGTTCAAAGGTTTATTTTCTTCAAAGTCTTTAAAATAATGCTATGGATACATGTTAATAATCAGATTTTGAAAAAGGAAATGTGAAGAGGAAAACGTAAAGTATGAAATACCTAGCTCTAGTCTGATTTTTATTTTATCCAACGTTTTTTATTATTTAATTTCTTTATTTTATTAACAGCTGGACTAAAGAACAAACTTTGCTAAATAATTTATCATGGCAGTTCATCAATGTCATTCCTGTTTGAATTTGATGGGAACTTTCTTACCATTTAGCTTGAAATGTGCACAGTTGATGTGGAAACTGAATATTGCTTCACTTGATCTCCCTCTCTGTCTATTGAGTTTTCTTTGGCATGCTTTGAAAAGTAGGAGGGCACTGAAGGGAAAGGAAAAATGGAAAGGAGGGAGTTTTAAAATCCACAAATCATTCTGGATGTATAACATATATTTTATAATTAACAATAAAGAATAATTCTGGAAAATGAAAATATTTTTAATGAGAGAGCTTTAAAAACTCATAAATTTTGATAGAATTTACCACATTTTAGTCCAGTTCACCTTACTACAGCTCAGCTAGACTTTATAAATGAGATGTTTTAAAAAATATAAAATATTTGCATATAGGGACCAGTAGGTGTCTCTAAAACATGCAGATTAGAGTAACTGTCATTCAGACTGTTGGTTTTTTTCTTCTTTTGTTTAAAACTGTCTAAAGGGCTGAGGATGGATACTTTACCATGCTTTTTAATGGTTATTCAATAATTTCATTGTAAAACTATCAATGGTGCTTAGCTATGATGGCTATACACTAACTGCAGTAGCAGAAGCAGTGTGCCAAGTGCTGGGGAACATGGGTTGGAAGTGCTGTTACATTCACATCCTACTCATGGGTTTCACATGGCCAGCAGTTTGGCTGTTGTGTGAATTTAACACATAACTGGACCCTTGGTATGGTTCACAATGGCTGTTATGATGTTCTTAATTAATTGCAACTCACCGGATTACTTAAGGAAAGTTTCCTTAGCTGAGTGGCAGCCCTGTTTAAACCTGAAACAATATCTAACATATGGAATAAGCTCACTTTAAAAAGCTTTAAATTATACTATTGATTTTTAGTACTGAAACAATAAAAATAGCATATAGCATTCATTAAAGGAATGCATTAATCCTTGTTTTACAGAAGGAATTTGGAAGTCATATAAGCTACAAGAACTACTTGTAGCTTAAGTGGATGAACTGGAATGAGTGAGTAGGGTTGTTCCAAGATTTATGCATTCATGGATTAATCTTTGACTAGTTTGTGAATGCTAAAAGGAGTTATCAGTCACATTGTGCTAAGATTAAGTGACTCTTATTAAACCACAAAGTTATATTGCCACTGCTGAAGCTGAGGGAAGGTATGGCTATCGACTTCAAAAATATGAGCCTGCACTTGAAACTAAGTTTTCCTTTTTCCTTCTCTTCTCTTCTCTTCTCTTCTCTTCTCTTCTCTTCTCTTCTCTTCTCTTGAATGATGCTTTTTAATGCTCAAGTAGACCATTGATCTATGAGTACTGTCTACAACAGGGGATCCCCAAACTTTTGGAAGATTTGGAATTTTTATGCAATTTTATCCTAACAAAATGGCTGTCACAGGGCATCTGGCCAATCATACAATGGCTGCCCTGGTGGGCATGCCCAGTCACAGAACATTAATTTCCCAGAAGGTAACTGTTGAAACCAAAACAAAACAAAAGTAGCTTGGAAGAACTCGAGACTGAACAATAAAACACAAACCAACTCTTTGAATCCCAAACACTGAAGGGCAGCACTTTGCAATATGCCTGTCTTCCAGTCTTAAGAAATACAATCTTAAGAAATAAAACAAAAATGGGACAGACAGGGATCCTGGAGGACCCCAAGAAAGAGGCACATTGGAACCCTTGGAGATCACATCGTAGTCCCAAAATCTAGACTGACTAGCAGCAGCTTTCCAGGCATCTTAACCAGCCCTTCCTAGAAATGGCAAGGATTGAATTTGGAACCTTCCACATATTAAGCAGGAGTCATACTGCCAAGTTATGGCATCCTGGGCAGTTTTACATCACTATTCCATTTCACAAAAGTACTTCTTGGTTTATTTTCCAAGAACACATTCCAACCTATTCCCACATGGGCAGGAAAGGAGCCTTCTAGATAGTGTTGATTCTGTGATGCCGGCCAAGATTCCAAACAATGGGATCTAAAATCCTGGATGACATCAACGAATAAACACTATTATAAACATTGCAATGGTGTCAGGCATTTGAAATATGTTCTGGCAATGTAGATTTATTATCAGAGAATCTTATAGTTAGAAAGTGGCATTCATAAGCACAAGGTCAATAGCCATCAAAATCTCTCTCTCTCTCTCTCTCTCTCTCTCTCTCTCTCTCTCTCTCTCTCTCATATGTTTGTGTGTGTCTTTCAATTATTGGAAGGGAGTGTTGTCCTGGTATATATCACTGAGACCTACCTGGATAAGAGTGTAGTGCCTATTTGGCCAAACTGGTTCCAGGTGGGTTCCATGTTTTTTCTTCCTTGGATTACTTCAAAGCATATTCTTCCGATATATGCAAGATTTTATTTTATTTTTTGGTAGGGGAAAAATGGAAGAAAGACTTTAGTTATAAATGCTTATAAATAACACTTTGGGCTTCTGGAAGGAATCTTGGAAGTGAAGAACATTTGGTAAGCTTTGCAACAGAAATAACTATAAATTTAAACGCATACATCTTCCTAATCCAAACAGAAATTCAGAGAAGGCCAAAGTTAGAAATGGGATGATAGTATACTTCCTAATAGGATGACAGTATGATGATAGCATAATTCCTAAATTTTAATGTTAAAGTGAAAAGAAGTGAAAGATATTGAAGCTAGTGGAAACATTCAACAAAATAGTGAACAAAAACTTTCATTCTCTTTTTCAGACATCACTTTGTTATTTATATGTTTATAGCATTCTAATCTCATTTTTGAGCCAAAAATGCTCCTAGAATGGCTTACAATGGTAGAAAATGAGGTAGTCTCTGCCCACAGGACTCCAATCTGACTAACATGACACAAAGGGAAAGGCAATGGGGGTGGGAGCACAAAATCCAGCCACTAGATTCTTGGCAAGAAGAACAAGCAAAGGATGAAATCCACCAAACAATAAAATAAAACAATAAAGTATTGCTTGAATTATTCATAATTTACACTGAACTCAAAACACACACTTCAAAACAGTGGCTCTTTTGCATGTGAGTTAATGTGTGTAATTAGACTGCCTTCTCCTCTTAATTATGAGGCAATGTTTCTCACAGGTTATTTCCTTGCACAAACTGGTTCACACAGAGATACACAGAGCCCACACAGAGCGAACTGGACAGCCTGTGACTTGCACAGAAACCCACTTGGATCTCAGAGCCCCACCAAAATGTGCATGCATATCCTTATGAAATAAATACAATATTGTAATAAAACATTTATCTTTCTCCCTCAAGTTAGGGACAGCTAGACTTTGATTCTTAAGGCTGTTGTGCAGCTCAGAGTCAAACATGCTTTCTTCCAATTTTTAAAAGGATTTATCGAAATGCAAATGTGGACAGGGCTGCTACCTAGAAAAACTCAGTAATATGGAAATAGTAAAGCATCCATAGGTAGCCAAAACAAGAAGTAAAGTATTTGGTAACATTTATCATCTTGTCCCAAACTATCTTTCTGCTGTTTCTGTTTTTTCCAGTTCCAGAAATATTTGACCTCTGTGTAGATTAACAGAGATCAATTTTGCCGACACCCAAAATTATTTTGTTGCCTGGAGTGAAGAACATGTCTGATTGGTTTAATATTCTAGGAAATTAATTGAAATATATAATGCCGCCTCTTCTATTTTCAGTGTAATAACCACTCATATTTAATGTACATCAATTTTTAAATCTCTCCTTTGTGAAAACTTGCAAAACTAGGGATAATGTCAATCATTTGTAATAGCATGGACTTGAATGGGGAAAAGTCACCTTGTCAAACAGTTTTTTTAAAATCACAAGAAGTCAGCCCAAGGCCTCCTTTTTGAATTTCTTTCCAAGGACACATAAAATCTTGCATTTGAAGCAGCTAAGCCTAAGAAAAAATATAACTTTGAATTAAATACAGTGTGTTTAAAGAAAGAGTCTTGGCACAGTTACATAGACCCTACATCTTCTGGAGAGAGCATCAAGACTGCCACTGATATTTCACAACAAATAGCATTTCTCCATAGGAAGACCAGTGTCTAAGCAGGTTCTTAATAAAATGTTTTATTTTTAATGCTCTGTTAATTATTCAAGGAAGAAAAGTCATTCATAGGACACACTGAAAAGATGAAACCACATATAAATCTGCTCCATTTTATATGTGGATGAAACCACATCCTACAATTTCACAAGTGCCAGGAAACCGCCAAATGATTCATGGTCAGGGGAAAAGACCAGAGCCAGAGGAAGAGGGATGGCCATCTCAGGAACCCCAGGATGACTGGATTGGGATGCAAGGATCCAGGCCCTTCCTTAGAGGGAAACACGTAAGCCCTGATGTCTTGAATGAACATGCAGATGGGCTTGGAAACACGTGGAGTAGGTATTTGTCCATTTGATGTTTGTCAGAAAGAGGTCTCTGCATATACGGCTTTACACACAGAGGATTACACACACACACACACACACACACACACCTGCTGACCAAGCAGGAATCTTCTTTGTATGAAGGTGCTTTTCCATTATATATGTGCAGACATTCTTCTTTATGCAGACAAGGATAGCCTGCATAGTTCTGTAAACCCTTGCCTTGTATTTAATGTATTCTGGGAGTGGGAGGGTTCATCTGTATCCTCACAGTGGAATCTAAATATCTAAGTGCTACATTATCAAGAAAAAGTCAACATCTGTAGACTCAGTCAGATTGCTGGTGATAGCTTTAATCTTTCTCTTCTGTGCCATTAGCTCAATAGGTATAACTTTTATAAGCAATTTCATGTTGAAGCATATAACAACAGAACCATTGTTGTTTTTGCTGTTCATCTAAGAACGTAAAAGGGGCACTGGTAAGAAAGGGAAGCTTAAGCAGTTCTCAAGCTGTTAAACAGCTTGACAGAAATATCTGAAAAAGCAGAGAAGGCCACATACATGTCCTTGCAGATTGGCATTTTATGGATTGCTTTTTAACCAGGAAGAAGGAAACACCACAGTCCAATATATGCAGATCACATGATGATGATCACAGACCACATGACTACACGCCCTGAGAAAGTTTAAAGAAAGCCGAGAAGTGCATAAAGACAAGCAAAGTAATTCCTGCAATTGCACTGAATGTGATTGTTTCTTCCAAAAGAGGTGATACAAGGGCTGAGTTCAGTAGTGCTATAACAGAACATTAGTACTATAATCAAAGTAGCCCTTGGATAATATTACCGGTTCTGGTTCAGTTTATTCTCCACTGTAACCCTTTGGTCTTTTTTCCTATCCAATTACTTCCATATGTTGGTTCTTATGTATAACTCCTGTTTATTTGTTTAATTTCATTTGTTCACGTCTGCCAAGAATTCTCTATGTTATTGAGACCATTTTGAACTTTTAGTCTATGCCCTGCAGTGCTTGCAGTGTCTTCGCTTTGCCTCATCTACATTTTGATCATTGCATGATCTATTTTTTAATCCAAATAAAACTATGCTACTGAATAGTTCTGAATGCAACATTGAGCATTCGAAACATAACCAAGATTCTCTTCCAGATGTATACATTTATTCTGGACAAAATCATGGTTCTGGAGATACTGGATTATCTTTCTTGGCCAAACCTAAGGCTTTTTTTCAGTTGTAGCATTTTTGAAAATTCTTCTTTTACAGTAATGTTGACATCATTTTATTCTCCCTTAGTCTTCTTGGTTTTCTCCACTGCAGAGCAATGTCTACCTACAGAGCTTCTCTTGTTGCCCTTTTAGCATAAGTCCAGCCATTGAGAGTTGGACTGAACAACATGAAACTTATGTCTGCTTCAACTATTTAACTGCAAGTTAACAGAACTACCATTCTCCAGTTTTGACTAACAGTTTATCTGTTGCATATTTTCCTGCATAGTAATATCACCCGGATAGCAGAAACGACAGCCAACAAGTAAGGTTTTTGTTTCTACAAAAACAAATATTGTGCGCTCATGTTCATTACCCAAGGTAAATAAATAGTCTGAGAAGGATAGGAACTAAAGACCATAATTTATAATCAACATACTAGGACATTTGACATCCAGGTGTAGTTCATGTATATGGATATTTAAAAAGAAGGACATTGCATATATGTGAAGGATATTCCACTTTATTTTGGTATATGTGCCAGCAAAGGCCATGAATGCATTTAGCCTGAGGAAGAGGAATGAACAGAAGCACTCTGCTGGCTTGGACCGAGGGTCCATAGAATCCAGTGTCCTGTTGACATCATGGTTAGGTAAGTGCTTGTGGGAAACTCACAAATAAGACTAGAGTGCAAAACCCCTTGCATACACATTTTCCTCAGCAAGTGATGCAGCTAGGCATGATGCCTCTCATAATACAGTACATCTAGTCATCTGAACTAGTAGTCAATTACATCCTTGACATCCATGAATTTGTCTAATCCCCTTATAAGCCATCCAAATTGGTGCTCATAATTACATCTTGTGGCAGTACATTCCCATAATTTTAGTATGCACTGTGTGAAGTACTTCTTTGTATCTGTCTTTATCTCTCACCAATCAACTTTATGGGATAACCCCAGTTTCTAGTATTATGAGGGAGGGAGAAAAAAATCCTTCCTGTCTGCTTTCTGCATACCATGCATAATTTTGTACAGTTGTGAAGTCCATGTAATTAATCTGAGTGCTTTAATCTTTATGTTATAAAGCTCAGGAACACTTATGAAATTGGTAAATATTAATACTTGCTATAGGAACTGGACAAAACAAACACTTTTGGTTTGAAGTTCAACAAGTTGTCTTATGCAGAGAGAAAATCAAACCATCCTTTTAGGGAAGAAGGGTTGTGGCCTTTTAAACATCTGATTTAGTAAATATTTTTGTTGCCATGCACTGTTCTTCAGGCAGAGATGCCAACTCATTTTTAACAGAAAGAGGGTTATCTTTAATTTACAGATGTGGAGGTGAACAGTAGAGGAAGGATTCATGCCATGGGGAGATGACAGAAGAGGTCGTTGTTGTGTATTCTAGGTCTACAGGTCTATATATTTACAGGGGAGACTGTATATATGACAGTAACCATGGGCAAAATATCTACTCTGGTGGTGGTCTGAACTTTTTAGGAGCTACCCGCAGTCCCAAATCCTATCCCAAAAATAGTTTAAAATTATGGTTTTCTGATCTCCTATAACCCTAATAGTTACATTTTGGACTGTTCTTTTTTCAGAATATATTTATGCTTTTATTAATAAAAATATGACAACGCTATTAATGGTCATAATATTAGAAATAAGATTTCAATCTTATTGAAATGGAACTGTAATCCATTGCTGTAAGAGAGCATTTCTGGATGTCTCAGAATGTGGAACATTTGTATAGTTGGATAAATCACAATGTGGAATAGTAAGATATCTTTAAGGAAGGAGAAGAAAAGGGAAAGACCTCCTCAAACTTTCTTCTCATTGCTTGATATACAAATTAGATGAAAATGTTAGAGGCCAGTTTCCAAAGATGTAACACAGTTTTAAGGGTGCATTGGAAGTGATTTGTCACAACCAGTGATCTAGCTGGTTGTGACAATTTTGTAGAACAGAGAATGTGGCTATTCTTTGTCTTGGATTACAGACAAAGTGAAATAAAAGCAAGCAGAAATTCATATTTTGTGAACATTTCAAATATCACATAAATTTTAAAGTATATGGAATGCAAGTTTTAAATCAGTCCCAGGTTCAGGTCCTTCTATTTCCAGGTAGGACTGAAAAATACTCCTGACTGAAATCCAGGCGATCAGCTGCCATTCGCTGATGCTGTTGTCATCAACTCTCAAGACAGCTTATCTTCTCCTCTCCACGAAGTTTACACAGTTAAATATATTGATATACCTACTAAAATTGACTTTGTGAAGCACAGTTGTCTTTGTTAGGGCCAGTTGCCTTATATTCCGCATCGTGGAGATGAATTTGCCCAGTTTCCACTCTCTGTTGCAGGTGCCATGAGCAAAATATCAGTGTGCTTAGCAAGTGCCCAAGACTTCCAACTACCCCTTCACTAAATAAATCACTCCAAATACAGGCAAAATCATTTATTGACATCTCCAGACAAAAATGGATTGGCTTACAGCTCTATAATGGATGTAAAAAAACCACCTTTTAATGACATGCCTATCATAATTTCCTCTGCATCTTGAGGCAGTCTTTTCTACATACCTTACATGAAAGGCAGACATTGTTCTCTGACCCTGGATTGAATTGCATTTTATGCCAGTAGCTAGCAATAAAATCATGGGTTATAGGTGAACACTTAACAGTGAGCCTGGACTAGTCATTGGGTGCTGAAACAACTCATAAGATCTCGTTTTGCATATTGTTCTGGGGAAATAACAACACAGTATCACAGTACTTGTTTTGTACACACGTAAGCTTTTCACAAAATTGTCACAGACTGTACAGTATGCACTTCATTGCCATTTCTGCCCGACTAACCAAGTATACATCAGGCAAATGAGGACAGCACATCATACCTTGGATGAAAGGGGCTCTAGTCCATGAATGCTTAGGCCATAATTGTTTTGCTGCAACGGACTGGTACAGTTGTTTGGAAGGGCAGGGCGTATAGGCAATGTGAAAAGGGGCATGCAGCACATGGCCAGAAAGAGGCAAGAGAAGCAGCTGTTCTGCCAAATTCCTCATGTATATTCTAACATATTTATTATTATTATTTATTATTATTATAACATTTCTATGCCGCCCCTTGCCGAAACCTCGGGGCGGCTTACAACATGATAAAATACATTGAAATACAATAGTACATAATAAATTACCATTAAATATAAAAATACAAAAAAATACATTGATTTACAAATACAAAATTAAAATTATCAGTATAAAATAAAAATATAGGAGGAGAAAGAGAAGGAAGAAGAAGTTGCCCAGGCCAGATCATATGTTTTAACAATTTAGAAGGTTAACTGACCCCATCTGGAAGGGTTATGTTAGATTGAACGATATAAACACGTATAAAATATCCAAATAAAACAAGACAAGCTAAAACAGAAAAAACATCCCTCTCCTGATCAAAGGTTGAAAAAGTATCAGAACTTGCATTTGATTGTTCAAGGAAAAGAGGACTCCGTTGGCGCAGCAGGTGCATCAAGAAAGACTATCCATTTGCTGTCGCATGGCAGAACAATCAAGAGAGTTTTCTGGGTATCTAAAATCCTTTTAAAGCCCATATTCAAAACCTGACAGATTCAGTGAATGATTTAGAAGCACCAGATTCTGCTGTTGAAGCTAAGCAAAAGTGAAACCGTTCAGTGCCCAGTGTCAGCACCTCATACCCCAGACAGGTGCCAGGGCTCTCCTAACAGTTTGTGAGCTGCCATTTTCAATTTCCCACAAGAGTTCCAACATAATGTCATTCTGCACCACTGCAGAAAGCTAAATTGGCTGCTTTTGTCACCATGGGCTATTTCATGAAACATAAGACATCAACCAGAATGTGGGTTATTACATTGTAAACCCAGTAACTAGATATTGTACAGGATATTACTCACCCAAACATGTTGATTTTCTGGTTGGTGCCCAGAATGTATAATTTGCTCTAAATTCATGCGAGGACATTGCAATGCTTTAACCAATAAAGCTCTCAGTGGGTTCTTTCCACAATACCTGCTGGAATCCCTCTCCCAGCCACAATATACCCAGATACTATGATCTGGGGCCTGCCTCTGATTCCCACCTCTAAGAGAGGCTTGGCTGGAAGCAACAAGGTGAAAAGCCTTTTCAGTGGTGGTCCTCCCATTATGGGAGAAACCTCCTGCTTGGCCTTTTCTGGAACCAATGTTTGGTGCCTAGTTTAGCCTGTCACCTACCACAGCGTATCTAATTAGTTACTATGAATATATGGATGTATATTGCCAGTTTCCCAGATGTAGATTTTTATGAGCTTGCATTTAAAAAGAAGCAGAAGCAGAAATGGCTGTATCTCTCTCTCCCCTCTTTCTCTCTCTCTTGCATGTTGTAATAATGATTTCATGGTTTATCTTTAATTCTGCTTATAGACTTAGTGGTTTTGCTTCTTCTTCAGAATATAGTTTAACCCCCTCTCCCACAAAAAAAAAAAGAAAAGAAATGTTTGTGAACTGTTAAAAATTGTATATTTTTTAATATTCTTGTTCTGGACATAAGTAGTTAAACATGCCAGAAAAGTACTTCTCTGTGTTCAGGGAATGAATGTTCCTGAAACAAATGACATAGGAATTCAGTTCAAATGTGTGCTGGGTAACCTTTCCCAATATGACTTTGGCTGTCTTCCACTGGAAGACAGGCTCCTACTGGTCTTAACTAGAACCTTTTAAACCAAACCACAGAGAGCCAAGTCTGCATAACTGACATTGTTACATTTGGTAAGCAGAGGGCCCTTGTAATGGATAGCAACAGAGGAGGTGTGCCCATTAAAAAGAAAAAAAGAAAAGAAATCATTTATTTATTTAGAATCATTGTATCCCACCCTTTACAGTGTCTCAGGGCAACAATAACATAAATAAATAAGATGCGGAATTGCAATAATATATAAAATCAGTATTAAGAGCAATACTAACTTTTAAAATGCTGGGAAAATTAAAATTAAAAGGTATCAACAATTAGGTTCCATGGAAGATAGGGAAGAGGAAGAAGTGTCTTAGAGCAATTAACACTGACAAGAGGATGTTAAGAGAAAGAGGATGGAAGTGGAAATTGTTGAAGGATTTACGAGAAAGAAAAGGAAGAGAGTAAGGTTGAAAGAAGAGGAGAATTTATTATCCATTCCATATTGCTCTACCTGGAATTGGAGGAGAAACACCAACTCTGTCTCTTGCACTTGGGAAGATGAAAGGCTATTCAGGGGATATAGCATGATTTCTGGAACCTAAGTAAGGAGAACATAAAATGCAAGGGAAGGAAAAGAGATAATTGGGAGGGGTGGCGGGGGGGAGAACACTGGGACTCTGGGGAAGAGGTCAGGGCCATCTTGATATACCAGGACAGTTATACACTTGGGTGTTGACAACCTTACAAAAGAATGGAGTGATTCTGAAATGGCCGTTTGCTGGCTCACAAAGGGAGGCAATTGTGCTAGACTTGCTTAACAAAGGACCTGGCTGTATACTGGCAACAGGATTTTCATTACATTGCTTCTTCCTTCTCAGAGCTTTCAGGCACCAGTTCAGTATGCAGTACAGTGAGGTGTGAAAGAAACCTTTCCAGAAAGGAAATTGGGCATTTGCAGTCTCAGGAGACTGTGCACTAGATGAATAACCAGTGAGGCCACTCTCTTGTTCACATCAACAGAATCTTCAGTGAGCAACTTTGAAGACATGTTGATTTGCCCTGTGAAATTTTCCCCAAGATATTTCAAAAATATATTGTGTTTGTGCATGTGCACATATGCATGTATATACTACGATGTTCTAAAAACTGAACACATTCTGTATGCAAGGATGGAGACTTCAAGATTCATGCCAACTGGATTCTACCCCATGAAGTTCTGATCAAGTTGGATTCTGTTGAGTCAGTTTAATTACTTTTCAGAACCAACATTTGATTCATATTCAGATTATGCAGATGTCATTGACTGATTAAAACTCACAAGATACATCATCAGAATATTTGGGTATATCTTCAGTTATGAATAAAAGGTTGATTGTACCATAATCAATCAGTGGTAATGAAAGAGAATAATTCCTTCATTTGGATATAAAATTTGTCCACACAAGTTTTAGATTAGATTGTGTATTAAGCATATATGGAAACAAGTGACCTGACCTAAGAAATGTACTACTGTATTTGGATGAATTAATGAAGTGGATAGAGAAGTGAACACAGTGGTACAGTGTGGCCCAGCATGCCCTGGGGTGGCTGTGGAAGACTGGACGTGTGTTTGAAAACCACCACATTGGTGCTCCATAAATTTCATTGACATTGTTGGCACAAAGTATTGGCTAGAGTTGAACATAAATGAATAATTATAGACTGGATTCAGACTTGAACAAGGGATATTCCAATAATGTAACTGAGATTTCCCACTCTTTTTCCACTGCAGTTCCCTGTGTCCAAGCCAGTTCTTTTATTCCCATTGCATTGTAGCCTCCACCACATCCCACACTGTTCTGGAACATCCCCATCACTGGGAGTAGCTTTCCCCCAAGCAAGGCTCTTAGTAAGATCAGGCAACAGTAGATCAGTACTTAATACCCTACTGCAATGGTGGCATTTTACTCAAGCAAACTTGAATCTAAACCTTATTTTAGGTTAAGCTACATGTGCTATCAAGTTAAAGAAGTCATCAGTGCTTTTAGATTATCATGCATGACAGAAAGCTTCATCTAATTTATTTCAGATTTGGATAAAAAAATTGACCTCACACACACATTTGCAGGATTGAACTTGGTTATGAAAAAAGCAACAATGCTTCCCAACTGCTTTTGGATGATACATGTATGAATATCTGGTTTAAATTAGCCTAGTTTGCAAATTTACCTATGGAATGGTCCATGCAACTTCAGTTCCTTTTCCAAGAGCAGTTTTATTTCTTCTAATAAAGAACAGCAGAATACATAAAACACCAGGGAGCTGGCCACAACTAAAACTCATGTAATTCATTGTCAACCTTTGCTGAATTTGCAAGTTGGCAACTGAATTGACAGACTGATGCCAAGTTCTCTGAGCTACTTTTTCCAAATAATATAGAGTTGATGTGCCTTTTGCCTCAATTATTGAGGACACAATGATGTCATAGGTTTATTTCTTTCTGCCTTTCATGTTAATTTCTAACTGTCACTATTAAAAATAACATTTTGTTGAAGAACAAAGAATGTTGAACAGAAAATTGGAAACCCCTGACCAATGACTAATTGCTTTTATGGTTATTATATGTGCTATTTATTGTGATCCTCTTAGAGGACCCTCAGGCCAATTAGCAGAAAATAAGTCTATAAATAAATAAATAAAGTAACAAACTTGCTATTAGCTAATGTTGAATCTCCCATTACTTTTGCAATATTTCATTATTTATTAAAGCATTTACATAAATTTCCCTCCAAGAAGATGTAAAGGCATTTGTAGCACAAAAAATGCTATATATAAACAAAGCACTAACATAATAGCAATACAACATGATCAATCTTAACAGCCAAAGGAGCCATCTTCAGAGTTAAATCCCTGATGAAATAGGTGTGTCATGCACCCCTCTAAAGGGAACAAACAATCAAACAAGTCTTCTAGCATATTTGTTGTTGTTGTTAGTTGCGAAGTCATGTCCGACCCATTGCGACCCCATGGACAACACTCCTCCAGGCCTTCCTGTCCTCCACCATCTCCCGGAGTCCACCTAAGCTCACACCAACTGCTTCAGTGATTCCATCTAGCCACCTCATCCTCTGCCGTCCCCTTCTTCTTCTGCCATCTATTGTTCCCAGCATTAGACTCTTCTCCAGGGAGTCCTTCCTTCTCATTAGGTGGCCAAAGTACTTGAGTTTCATCTTCAGTATCTGGCCTTCTAAAGAGCAGTCAGGGTTGATCTCCTCTAGGACTGATTGGTTTGATCGCCTTACAGTCCAAGGGACTCGCAGGAGTCTCCTCCAGCACCACAATTCAAAGGCCTCAATCCTTTTGCCCTCAGCCTTCCTTATGGTCCAGCTTTCACAGCCATACATTGCAACTGGGAAAACCATAGACTTGACTATATGCACTTTTGTTGGCAGGGTGATGTTTCTGCTTTTTAGTATGCTGTCTAGATTTGCCATAGCTTTC